AGAGAACAAATTAATGGGAAATTTCGGAACATGTAAAACATTAGAGAGGGTAAGGCCGAGAGGGAGAGAAATGGTTCCTTGACTAGCTATGGTAGTGTATGACCCATCAACTAGTCTCACCTTGTCTCTTCCAAAAAGAAGGTGATAGGTTTGAAAGTAAGAGGACGTACCAGTCATGTGTTTTGATGCTCCAGAATCAATGATCCAGGGAGTGTTAGGGTTATGAGAAGCAACATGGAAAGTTGTGGCAGAGTTACCTGATGTAGACGCAAATGAAGTTGAGGGAGGAGCATACATCTGACGAATTGCTCTACCATAGAGCTCTAAATAGTCATAGAAGGAATTTATAATATCCTCCCTTGGGTCAGATCTAGATGGATGTGTCTGAGTCACAGTATGAATGGGGGGCTGATTCTCCTGAGTAGCCATGTTTTCCATAGTGTGTTTTCTTGTACCTTGCTGTCCTGACTTTTTATTCATATCTAAACCTTGCTTTTTATTCAGATCTTAAGCCCATTTCGGCTTCCCATGAAGATCCCAGCATGTGTCTTGGGTGTGTCGGGGTTTCTGGCAATGAGTACACCACAATTTGTCATTGTCATCCATATTTTTCTGAAGATCTCCCTTCTTAGAAGTATTGCCCCCACCGGTAGTAACACTCCCTTTCGCTGCCAACACAACTACATCTCCTCCAAAACTGTTCATCAAATTCCTTCTGCTTTCTTCTGATTATACAAGAGCATAAACTTCCTGATCTGATGGAAGATCCTTGCTACCTAGGATTTGGACTCTGATAGATTCATATGTAGGGTTCAAACCATGTAAGAAAGCAAACATCCTCTGTTGGGAGACGAGGTTTTTGTACAGTTTTGCATCTTCATCACACTTCCAGTCCACACTCTGATAATGAGGGGTGAATTTTTGCATAGTGTCGCAAATAGACGATTCTGCCTGTAGCTGGTAGATTTTTGCATAGTGTTGCAGTTCCGAATATGTTGATTTTGCTTGTTCCCAGATCTCATTTTCCATTTCAACCCACATGAAATTCCTTCTTATTTGAGGTTGCATAGAAACTAAAAGCCAAGACATGACCATGCTGTTTTCCTGGTTCCATTTGTCATATTCAGCACTCCCAAAATGTGATTCTTTGATACTCCCATTAATATAACCTATATTTCCCCTTACAGTGATGTACAGCTTGATCCCTCTTGACCATTCTAAATAATTTAAACCATCAAGAGGAATAACAGCCATGGGAAAGGATAGGTCCACACCCCCACTCATTCCATTCAACATTGAGGAAACACCGGATGTAGCAGAATCATCACCACTCATGATTTCAGATTCAAAAACAACTCTTAAATGGGGTACACAGCCTTAAAGAAATTCAACACTAAGGGGGGAACAATTTTTTTTTCTTCAGAAACACACCTCCTTTTGTAAAAACACAGGTGCTGTTACAGCACCAACAGGTCATCCCTTGACTTACAAGCTCAACACAAGTGCTGCCACAGTGCATACAGGTCATCTCTTGACCTACGCATCAACAGGGCTGCTGTTACAGCAAGTACTGGTCACTTTCTGACCCTCAGTTCACCATAAAAGCTGCTGTTGCAGCACACAAAAAGGTCCTCACGACCTACAGTTTCACAGGGATCAGTCGACCCCACAAAAAAGGAAAGAAAGAGGTGCTGATCATCTCACATCCAATCGGCAGACCTAGTACAGGTTCTGCCCTGGCACACGACCAGAAAAAAAAGGTAAGAGAGAGAGAGAGTAAAGTTACTTCAATGTGTGAGATCTTCAATCAGCCGAACAGCAGATGAGGGCGGCAGATCTGGAAATCTGGTGGGAAGAAGAAAAAAAACTGTTCACTCGACTTCTCCTTTCAGATCTGATAGTCCCGCTCTGATACCATGTTATGCAGGAGAGAAGAATGGAAGAAGAGAGAAAAGAGAGAGAAGAAGAGAGAAGAGAGAACTGAGAGCAAAAGATACTGTTGGCTGCACAGCTTTTTTAATATATATACTAGGGCGACAGCAACTAAAATAAAAAAGAGTAAAAGTACAATAGTACCCCTCTGGTACTATACATAGGAAAAATAACAGTTGTTAACACATAGGATGTAATATTTTTCTTTTTTATTGAAATTTTATTTTTACTATAAAAAAATCATAGAAAAATGATACAACAAGCCATTCTTTTTCCATCTATATAAACTCACCATGTGATTTATCTCGGCCTCAGAAAAAGATTTACCATCCAAAAGCATGCTCCATGCCACTTTATTGATTCTCAAAGAAATACGCATGGCGCAGGAAGGGCTTTTATTCTTTTCCTTCTCCATCAACCGTACTTGTGCAGCTTTTTGCAAAGCCATCCTTAATGACACAGATGCTGCTTTACGAGATTTTTGAGTGTTTCCAAGCTCCTTCTTTAGGAATTGAACCTGAAAAAATTGATTTTTTTTTAGGATGTAAATATCTAATGAAAGAAAACTTCTATGTCTCACAACCAAGTTATAGATGACACTAAATTATAGAGATACATACATAAGTACATTGAAAACCTAACTGTTTCATGTCCTAGAATCCTTTTAACACCAAAGCCCACTCTGTGATCCTGAAGAAAATATCTATGCTTATCAGAGCAAGAAATTTTAAGGTTCCTTTAAAATCAGTACATCCCTTCTTCCTATATAACCTAAAAGATCACAAATGATATTTTCCAGAACATCCAGTCTCTTTCTTCAAATGGGACTGGATCGTTCTTAGTGCACCTGATGAGGCATATATGGAAGCCTTGGATTCCCCATGAAAATATAAGAGAAGTAATCCAAAACACTGTTGTACAAGCAAGGTTTAAAATGTCAATATCGATGGAAATGTCGCTTACCAAAATATAGGACATATGTCGGAAATGTCGAGGGGAAATATTGTAAAAATTAGAGACATTGTGGAAATATTATGAAATATGTGGAAATATGCAGTGATATTTTGTAAAATGATAAAAGAAGCATTAATACATATTTCTAGACAATTATCTTATTCCCAACCATTATATAAA